GAACACACAACAACCCAAAATCTCTGGGACACAGCAAAAGCAGTCTTGAGAGTGAAGTACCTTAAAAAAACAAGAGAAATCAACAATAAATTATTTAACCCTACAACTTAGAGAACTAGAAAGAGAACAACAAGAAAAGCCCAAAGTAAGTAGAAGGAAGGAAATAATAAAGATTAGAGCAGAAATAAATAACATAGAGACTAAAAATAATACAAACAAAAAACAAAAACAAAAAGCAATGAGCTGAAGCCAGTTTGGCTCAGTGGTAGAGCATCAGTCTGTGGACTGAAAGGTCCCAGGTTCGATTCCGGTCAAGAGCATGTACCTTGGTTGCGGGCACATCCCTGGTAGGGGGTGTGCAAGAGGCAGCTGGTTGATGTTTCTCTCTCATCGATGTTTCTAGCTCTCTATTTCTCTCCCTTTCTCTCTGTTAAAAAAATCAATAAAATACCGGTATATTAAAAAAACAACAACAACAATGAAACCAAAAGCTGGTTCTTCAAAAGGATAAATAAAATTGAATTGTTAACCAGACTCATCAAGAAACAGAGAGGACCCAAATAAATAAAATCAGAAACGAAAGTGAAGTAGCCACTGACATCACAGAAAAACAGGATGTATCCACAAGCCTCAGGTATGCCGGGCACTGTGCCAGGTGCAGGACAGAACCTGCTGAAGAAGATTACATGGTGGCTGCGCTCCCAGATCTACAGTGCAGACTGATATAAACCACAAAAATAATTATAATATACTTACACGTTGTGTGCTAAGAAAGAAAATAATATCAGAGATGCATCTAAAGCTAAAAATTGAAAGATGAGAATAATGCTAAGAGCAGGGAGACCTTGTCAACAGATGAATGAATAAACAAAAGGTAGTCTACACATACCATAAAATCATAGTCAGCCTTTAAAAGGACTGAAGTTCTGACACATGCTACAACATGGATGCACCTTGAAAACATTATGTGATGTCAAATAAGCCCAAAAGATAAATATTGTATAAGTCCACATACATCAGGTACCTAGAACACAAATTCACAGAGCCAGAAGGTACGACAGAAGTTACCAGGGGCTAGAGGGAGACAGGAATCATAAGTTATTATTTAACGGGCACTGAGTTTCTGTTTAGGAAACGTAATGAAAACATTCTGAAAATGGTTGCACGACATGATGAACATATTTAATGCCACCGCATTGCACACTTACAAATGGTTCGAGTTTTATATTACCTGTATTTTACTATAATTAAGAAACGTAAGGAGGTTGGTATGTCGAGTAGAGGAAAAGCATGTGCAAAGGCCCTGAAGCCAGTCAGAGTCTGGCATGTTGGCTGGGAAAGGGTGATGGGAGATGTAACCCGCAGAAAAGACAAGCGGTCAAACCCCTGTTGACTTTTGAGTCCATGAATAAGAGCTTGGATTCTATTCTAAATAAAGTGGCCATTCCCATGTTTTTAGAAGAGTTTTAAGTGAGGAGAGAGAATAATTCAATTTATGTTTCAAGAGATGCATTCCTGGGCAATGGGCTGGAGTGGGCAAGCCTCAAAGTGGATTCTTAAGAGAACTGCTCAGTAAGAATTCCCAGCTCGAAAGGAAGATGTGGCCCATAAGATAGGGGGCACATCTGGATGACAGATGTCCCCAGAATCCTCCCACGGTGTGCTCACACTACAAACCACCCTTCCTCAATGGACTCTTACACAGGAAGCAAACATCTCACAGGGAAGAGCACCAACACCCCCACCTCCATGGAGCCACCCATGTCCCCATTGGAACTCTCTTCGTCTTTGCTTGTCCTCCTCACATAAATTTAGGTGTGCCCCTGGAAAGTACAATGGCTTAGCTGTCTTCTCTCCTCCCAACTCCAGACTTTCTTAGTCACAGGATCTATCGTATATAACAGGAGAACCAGACTTCATTTTGTTGTTAATGGTAACATGGACCAAGTGATTCCCTCACCTAGCTCCTGGCTTGGTTGGTATTTATGCTGCCACTCATAACTTGCATCTTTTTCTGAAAATTAAAAAAGTAGTAACAATAACAAAATGTAGGGAATGCAAGGTATTCCTTGCCACATATTTCCATCAAGTCCTACCTACGTGAAAGATGAGACCACAGCCCAGCCGGTGTGGCTCAGTGGTTGAGTGTCAACCTATGAACCAGGAGATCACGGTTCGATGCCCAGTTAGGGCACATGCCAGGGTTGCAGGCTTAATCCCCAGTCAGGAGGCAGCCAATCGATGATTCTCATCATTGATGTTTCCATCTCTCTCCCTCTCTCTTCCTCTTTGAAATCAATAAAAATATACCATTTGTAATTCTTTAAACAATAAAATAAATTTTATAAATAAATAAATATATATATTTTAAAAAATTTTTTTCAAAGAAGAGGGGACCAAGGGACCTGTCCTCCTCACTTCCAGCTCTGAGGCCCGATGGGATGGGGGACCCTTGTCACAGGCTTCCCTGCCAAGGCAGCACAGCCACCGAGGACACAGAAACTGGAAGAACATGAACAACAGGTCCACCAACTGTTCCTTCTCTGTCGGGAAAGCCTGTTCTGGGCCACAGACGCTGCCATCTGTAATCACAGCTGCTCCCTTCACAAGTACCTGCTCCTCCGCAGCATCCAAGTTCACAGTCTGCTTGTGTTCCTAGTGGAATTCCCAATTCCTGCGGCTTCATATGAGCTAAAAATACAGTGCTGGCTGGCACATGGCCCAGATCCCGGAGGCCCCACGCAGACTGGAGGGTAAGTAAGAGGGGGTGTGCTTAGAGAGGGGCAGACACCGCTCTGAGAAGCCTCAGCCATGTGGTGGCATGGGGGAGGCGGAGGAGGGTGTCAGCAGGCAGAGAGCAGCTATTAGGGGCGGGAAAGAAGTGAAGATCTTCTAAATAACAGTTCTCAGAGGAATATAACAAGCACACTCTGTCTAACCTTCTGTATTCTCAGTCCAGTAATCCAGATGGAAATCCAATTTCCAAAGTATAATACAAATTGTTTTAGTTGGGGTTTCCTGTATAAATCTTTAGGGAGTGCTTTGATATGCATTATGACACATTTTAATCTAAGTTCTGCATTTTAATTGATTTATTGAAAGATGTTAGAGCTAAAATATACTTTTAGAATTTCTTATGCCCCAGGCTGATAATTAACTATTAAAATGTGTGTAGCGCCTGAAATCACAAATCAGAGTAGCAAAAGGATTAACTCAGCCAAGCACATCACTGAGTTACGTAGCTATACAATAAATTCAATAAAAACTAGGCTTTATTATATGTTAAAAATTCCTTCAATACAGAAAGTACATAAGATATAAAAAAAAAAAAATCATCCAGGACCTACCCACCCACAGTGCAAATTACCACTGTTAACATTTTTCTAAATCCTCATCCATTGATTTTTTCTTTCTTTTTTTGAGAGAGAGAGAGAATGGAGGGGAGGGAAGAGAAATGGGGAGAGAGAAATTGATATGAGAGAGGCACATCAATTGGTCGCCTCCCATTTACACCCAACCCAGCCCAGGGATCGAGGTATGTGCCCTTGACTGGTAATCAAACCCACAACCTTTCAGTCTGCTCCACTGAGCAAAACTGGCCAGGGCACCACTGTTAATATTTTGATGTATAGACTTCTAAACTTTTTCATAAGCATATATGAACTATTTCAAAAATCAGATTATATTATTCATATAATTTGCAACTTAGCAATATACGATTAATACTTAACCTATGTCAATAAATATTTTTTTCTAACATAATTTTTATTGGCTATAAAATATTCCATTTTATGTATAAGCCTTGATTTATTTAACCAATTTCCTACTGATAGATATTTGGGAGTGTATATCCTATATAATAAAAGGCTAATATGCAAATTGTCTCCTCAATCAGGAGTTTGACCAGCAGGCAGGCCAGCTAACCGCCCATGTCCCTTCCCCCTGGCCAGGCTAGCTGGACCTCACCCATGCACAAATTCATGCACTGGGACTCTAAAAAAAAAAAAAAGTATATATATATATATATATATATATATATATATATATATATATATACACACACACACACACACACACACACACACACACTGAGTATATACAGACACTGAGTGGCCAGATTATTATACGTTCAGAGATCATAATAATCCAGCCACTCAGGCCGAGACCGGTTTGGCTCAATGGATAGAGCGTCGGCTTGGGGACTGAAGGACCCGGGTTCGATTCCGGTCAAGGGCATGTACCTTGGTTGCGGGCATATCCCCAGTGGGGGGTGTGCAAGAGGCGGCTGATCGATGACTCTCTCTCATCGATGTTTCTAACTCTCTATCTCTCTCCCTTCCTCTCTGTACAAAATCAATAAAAATATATTAAAAAAAAAAAAACTGGCCACTCAGTGTACATAGTCCTAGCCAGTCTGGCTCAGTGGATAGAGCATTGGCACACAGACTGAAAGATCAACTCTGGTCAAGGGTAAATATCTAGGTTGCAGGCTCAATTCCCCACCCTGGTCAGGAGCATGGAAGGGTGTGTAGGAGGCAACCAATCCATGTGTCTCTTTCTCTGTCTCTCCCCCTCCCTTCTACTCCCTCTAAAAAATCAACGGGAAAAAATATCCTTGGGTGAAGATTAACAGCAACAATAAAGATATACATAACATCAAAAGCCAAGAGCATCAGTGAAACCACTCATGAAAGCCAGGAATAAGACAAGAATATTCAAAGTCAACACAGACATTTAAATTTTTGTTCTGAAAACACTAGCCAAGTGACCAAGAGAAAAACATAACTTTTTTAAAAGTTGAAAAATAGAAGATGGGATTATCATTATTTGCAAATGATAGAGGATACTATTCCTGGAATTAACTAAAAACCTATTGGGGGGAGGGGGAGGAATTATTGGGTTTATTCCATTCATCCACCAGCCCAAGGAGAAATTGAAGAGAGAACTACGAAAATCTCAATATTGTATAAGCCGTGAACCCGAACCTTTGGAAAACTCACCTTGGCAGTTTAATTTGGGGGACTCCCATGTGCCCAAGGCTGTGCAGCTTGAAACTATATCTTCGGGGCCACTGAAAAACCCCTCTTTGCAAGCATAACGAACCTGGCTGCCAGGCCCAGAGGTATAATTGCCTATAATATAGGCATCTGGGACCTCAGGAGGAGTGCCACAGTCTATTTCTGCAAATAAATGAATGTCAAATGCATTACTCTGTGAATTTCCAAAATTCGTAATCTCTACCACTACCCCATTCCCCCTCCCTTCACACACAGACCCCAGCCACATGCTAAATAGGCTGGTTCGTTTCCACATGACTTTTGCGCATATTTCCAATGATGATCTCTCTTCAATCTTCTGACCTGCCATAGGTAATGGCATCTATACTTGCACAAAGCTGAACGAATTCGGCAATCAACCTTCACTAACGCAAACTAACTAAAAAGAATCCTAGTCCAGTGAAGTGAAAATTTTAGATTGCAAAACACCTTCAGATATATATATATATATATATATATATATATATATATATATATATATATATATGCCTTTGTCATTTTTAGGGTCACTTTTGAGATGCTGGTCCTTACCAGATCAGCCTAACCATTTTACAAGCTAACCTAATGGCTACCATCAAAATATCTATTAACTGCTAAAAATCCCCAAAGTTTAGTAATTTTAGCTTTTTAACATAGCCCCTTCTATCCTCATTAGGTGATTTGGTTATCTCATAGGTTGTAATAATCTCCACCTACCCCCCCAACAGAGACCCACAGACAGAGGGGAGGGCTGCAGAAAATCACCACCAACGGGAGCGTTCTTCCGCAGAAACCCACCTGTGCATGACGTGGCATCTCTGGTCGGGTGGAAAGGCTCGGGGCCACTCTCTGCCAAGTATCCATCCATACAGTAGCATTCAAAGCTCCCATGAGTGTTCACACACCGTCCTCCCTGCCCACACAGGCCGGACACCTCACACTCATCTATGTCTTGAGACCCATCCCAAATAGGAGAGGGAGAGAAAAACAGAAAGAAGAAAAAGTGAGGGAGGGGGGATGACCTTGTGACCACCATTTTTCACATTCTCAGTCGACGCTTACAAATGGGTGCATTTTGTGTGCAAAAGTATCATGAATTTTATTGTGACTTTTTTAAGGGGTCTTCTCAGGTATCCTTCACTGAGGGGTGCTCAGAAGTACTTGTGACCTTGTTCTGGGGATTTAGAAAAACCAACAGCCATCCATCCCCAACGGTCTGAGACCAAGTCAAATGAATTAAAAAAAAAAAAAAGAGAGAGAGAGAATGTCAATAAATGTCAGCCCTGGCTGGGTGACTCAGATGGTCAGAGCATCCTCCTGTACGTCAGAAGGTGGTGTGTTGGATTCCCAATCAGGACTAGTAGGGGAAGCAACCAAGCAATGTTTCTCATTTAGGTGTTTCTCTCTCTCTCTTCCTTCCCCTCTCTCAAATCAATAAAAACATATCCTCATATAAAAAGGTGAGGATTTAAAAATTCAGTTACTATAAAATAAGAATGGCCTCAACCTCATACTAAAAATATCTGAAGAACTACAAATATGAAACAATTTAGACAAGAGTGAAAAAATGTTTTCAAAAAAGAACATAGGATAGTAAGACAGTAAGGAGATAACGTCAGAAGGATCTCACTAAATTTACCAAGATAGCAGGGCCTTAAAACAGACTTCAAGAAAGGAAAGCCGGGCTTCTTGGCAGACTCCCCCTGACTAAGGATTATGGGAAGTAGCAAGTACAGGGGTAAGTAATCCAGAGTCTGAAAAAGATTCCTCTCTGCCAGTCAGCAGCCCCCAGCCCCACCCTGATCTGGCTGAGAGAACAAAACTGCAGACTTAAGGAATTCCCACAGCAACACATACACCAATTTTACTTGGAGAAACAAAGCACTTTAAAGGAGGTGGCACATTTCCCAAAATCTAGGCAAGAACCATAAGGGGGGCAGCGGACAGGGCGCAGCATGACTGGAGGAAGTCTGGGATTTCAGAGACCAGCCATTTTGGGAGGACTGACACTAGTATGGGGCAGCCAATATTCTATTTTGACAGAAATACGTATTTTCAAAAAAAAAACTATGAACAGCATAATTTCCTAAAAGAAGGAAGAAAATAATCTCAAAATTCTTTAACATTTGTTTGGGATTTTACTGAAATTCACTATATCCTTTTTTCTTTGTTCGTTCTTGGGTCTTTGACCAATGAATACTTCATCACCCATAGGTCATTGTTTGGGAACCAGTCATTCACTCAATTGCTGAAGGAGCCCATACAAGCTACCAATGTTTTTATTATTATTCTTGAATTTACTGGGGTGACACTGGTTAATAAAATTATGTAGATTTCAGGGGAAAACTACCAATTCTGAGCCACCTACACATTTTGTGCTTCAAACTTTAGGGAACTCTTTGTGGGAGACTCTTCAAAGATGGCTGGCAACAATTTTTCTTCTCCCTTTCTCACATGCCCCTCCTTCCATCACAAGTGTGTGGCTCCCTTGGGCAGGCCGTGGGACTTGCTGTGGCCAATAGGACAGGGCAGAAGTCACATTGTGCCTGCTCTGGACTAACTCTGAACACACCTGGCAGCTTCTTTCTCTCTCTTGGAATCCAGTGGCCATGCTGTTAGGAAATCCAGGCTATTCTACTTGGGAGAAAGCCCACTCAGAGAGGCCCTAGGATGAGACTCCAACTGAAGAGAGGGCCACATAGAGGAGAACTGACCATCAGCACGAAGGCCCTAGACATGGGAGAGGCCTTCTCTTACCTACCAGCTCAGGCCAGCCACCAGTTGAATGTGTCTACACACGTGATGAAACTACCTAGCCATGGAATTGTGAGGAATAATAAAATTGCTGTTTTAAGCCACTAAATTTGGGAGTCAGGAAACTAGAATTAATGTAGTACCGGTAGTAGATAATTAAGAGATGCAGAAGTCCAAACAAGATTAGAAGAAACTGTGTCAATAAAAAAATAAAAAAATAGGACATGGAAGAAGTTACATTGTGCCTGCTCTGGACCTAACTCTGAAGACTCAGAAAATTAAAAACAAAATATGAACGCCAAAAATAAAAACTCAATCAATGGAGGCACTGAATAATAGCTCAGTCAATGCTGAAAAATAAATGTGCAAATTCCAATTTGAGGAATTCTCCAAAAACATATAGAAAAATAAATTATGTGAGACAGAGTATAGAAAAAAAAAAAAACACATGAAGATAAATCCAAAATACTTAATATCTGTTTAATTTTTTTTAGATTATACTTTTTATACTGTTCTGTATTCCTTTTTGCCATCTCCCCACACCACCCCCATTCCACTTGGCAACCATCAGTATTCATTTAAGAGGAATTGCAGAAGAGAATGGAGTAAATGTATAAGAATTAATATTTTTAAAAATCCTCAGTTTATGTATTCAAATCCAAATAGCTTTTACAATGAACAAGTCTGAATGTTTAAAAAAAAATGAAAGTAATTCTGAATTTCATAGAATAAGGGAAGAAAGTATTACTCTCTGAGGGAAAGGAACAGTAATATATGAGGGAAAGAGAACCCATCTGACCCAGGACTTCCTGTCTGAAACACTTAATGCTAGATAGCAAAGGAGAAATGTTGACAGAGTTCTAAGAAAAATGGAGCAGAACATCATGCTATATTTAAACAAAGGAATGACCTTTCAGACCATGAGTGATACCAGGTATCATAGCATTGACATTTCTTTTCTGGAAAAGATTTTGAGAAAATATTGGAGCCAGCGAAAAACATCAGAATAAACAAAGTCAAGAAAGAGAAAGACATAATAAAACACAACAAGAAGTGCTAAGAAATGAAACAACACTTAGGGTTCAACAACTGTTGATAATAAAATCATGATACTTTTGGCAATTGTTAAAAAAGGATTCTTAAAATAAAAATACCATCAAATAGCCGAAACTAGTTTGGCTCAGTGGTAGAACGTCGGTCTGCGGACTGAAAGGTCCCAGGTTCGATTCCGGTCAGGGGTATGTACATTGGTTGCGGGCACATCTCCAGTAGGGGGTGTGCAAGAGGCAGCTGGTTGATGTTTCTCTCTCATCGACGTTTCTGGCTTTCTATCTCTCTCCCTTCCTCTCTGTAAAAAATCAAGAAAACATATTTTTTTTAAAAATACCATCAAATAGCTCTGGCCTCAGCTGGTTGAGTGTCATCTGTGCACCAAAAGATCGCCGGTTTGATGCCCAGTTAGGGCATATGCCATGTTTTGATTTGGTCCCCAGATAAGGTGCATATAGGAGGCAATCGATCAATGTGTCTCTCTCACATCAATGTTTCTTTCTCTTTCCCTCTCCCTTCTTTTCTCTCTCTAAAATCAATAAGAACATATTTTTTTAAAAAATAAATAAGTTCATTCTCTAAGACAAATTTTAGAGATGATTTCAACACGGCAGAATACAACATGTTTCTAGATTTGATCCATCGTTTTAACTTATCAAGATTTTTTTTTATCCCATTGAGGAATTTGTAAAGTGTGTACATTTGGCTTTGTCACAGAAATCATTTTCCAGCCTGACCACCTGCTCCAGACTCCTCAAAAGATAGTGGGAATCGATGGTTGTCTTTTTTTTTTTTCTTCTTCTTCTTTTTTTTTTTTTTTAAAGTAGAATTCTAAAAATAAACAGTACAAATAACTACAGGGCAAAAATGTGGCTAAGCAGCAGTGGCATGGAAAAGTCTTGGAGTTCCTAGGTACTGATCAGTGCCAAATATAAGTCACTACAGTCATTAATTAGTTTGCTTTGTGTACAGTCAACAACCTCATAATAATCATTATGCCCAGATGATGTGGTTCAGTGGTTGAGCATTGACCCATGAACCAGGAGGTCATGGTTTGATTCCCAGTCAGGACACATGCCCGGGTTGTGAGCTTGATCCCCAGAAGGGAGCATATAGGAGTCAGTTGATCGATGGTTCTCTCTCATCACTGATGTTTCTCTCTCTCCCTCCCTCTCCCTCTCCCTCTCCCTCTCCCTCTCCCTCTCCCTCTCCCTCTCCCTCTCCCTCTCCCTCTCCCTCTCCCTCTCCCTCTCCCTCTCCCTCTCCCTCTTCCTCTTCCTCTCCCTCTCTGAAGTCAATAAGGACGTGTTAAAAAATAATTGTTATGATAGTTAATAACTATTCCTGCATGTCATCTTACACATACCAGGCATTGTTCTAAACTCTCATTACTTATTACTGATTATTTCCATCTTATTTCCTCTTCAAAATAACCTAGTGAGGACGATGCTATTGTTACCCCATTTTACAACGAAGGACCTGAAGTGGAATAATTGGACTTAAATTTGGAAGGTGAGTAGTGGGAAGCCAGGTATCTGTCTCCAGAGACCATTAAAAAAAACACACACACATATATATATATATATATATATATATATATATATATATATATATATATATTGATTTCAGAGAAGGGAGAGGGAGAGAAAGAAACATCAATTTCAGAGAAGAAGGGAGAGGGAGAGAGAATCATAGATTGGCTGCCATCTGCACAAACCCCACTTGGGATGGAGCCCTCAACTCAGGCATGTGCCATGACCAGAATCGAATCCAGGATCCTTCAGTCCACAGGCCAATTATCCACTGAGCCAAACCAGCTAGTGCCAGAGACCATATTCTTAACCACTATGTAACACTGTTTCTCCCATTACAATCTAATTGTATATGACCATCCAATCAATAATTCCCCTTCCAGAGACATTGTCAAAGATATCATCCACTGCTTTAATGAAGCCTAGATATATCCACTATGTATCACTGAGATGAATATGCATGATTTTAACTTCTAATCCCCTGTTATCTTTTATGCTCACAAACCATCCCTTTTCTCACCCATTCTAGAATCTTGGCTGTTAAGCTTATCAGAACAACTTCTCCACGCACTGATAAATTCTATGGGGTCTCCAAGGCTGTACATGTTCCTTAGAAAAAGAGTTCTAAGCAACCTTATTAACATACTTAACTAATCAATGGGGGGAAATTTCCTCGGTCCTATTCTATATATTGGAATAGTTAACCTTATCCGCAGCAGAACAATTTCTTGCTAGGAAGTAGCAAAACTGAACAGGACACTCTGACCTGGTCCCAGGGCCCTGGGGTTCTATATTTAGCCCTTTCAACTAATAGCATGGGTTTGAAAGTCAGAAAGACCCAGGTTTGAGAACTCCTCATGCTACTTACAAGATGTACTAATAATGTCTGTTCCTTAACCTTTCTAAACCACTTCTGCAAAATGAAGCTAATTATAGTGGGTTTTCCATGGGGACTAAATAAAATGTGTGGAAAGCACTTAGCACAGTACCTAGCAGCCCGTAAGTCCTCAAGACTTGTTAGTTAATACACGACTGAGCCTTGCCTCTCTATTGACTCAGATCTGCCTGGGGCACATGCCACTCCTTCATACCTGAGCCTGAGCCACGCCTGAGCAATGTGAGAGGGTCTGGGGAGTGGCCACATGGCTTGTTCCCCTGGACTTGACTGCTCCTAGACGGAGCAGAAAACCCACCGGGAGGGTCCTTAGCTGGAACAAGAGGGCCAAAGAGGCAAAAGTTTAAGAAGAAGCGAGCCTGTGACTGCCCCTCCAACACAAGCCCTTGTCCTGAGAAGCCTTTGAAATATAATGACTTAGCATGGACCCAACGAGAAAAATGCATTCCAGAGCAAACATGGAAATGCTCTCAAAGCCAACTTTTCTCCATATCGACACCTAAGAACCAGACCCTCCTAACTCCACAAAATAAGATGAGACAAAAATTATTCCCTCACAACTTGGAAAGTGAATGCATTTATTTTCTTTCCTGCCACCTTCCCTGCTTAAATGCCAGATTAAGCTTGAAAGCCTGTATCTTATGTGGGGAGCCACGTTAGAGGAAAACATACACCCATTTAAAATCAGGACTTTTAAATGCACACCATTTATTAATATTGTCCGGTGTTGGCAAGGATATGAAGAATTGGAACACCTTCATGAAGTGAGTAGCAGTCAGAGAGAATATTGCTGTGAACTTTCTGGAAGGCAGTCTGGCACTATGTATCGAAATGTAAAATGTGTACCTCTGGCACAGAAACAATCTTTCAGAATGTATAATAGGGAGATAATTATTTGTAAGGATGTAAGTACAAGATTGAACATTAGAGCATTTCTCACAATAGAAAAAAAAAAAAAAAAAAGAAAGAAAACAACCCCAGTAGGGATGAGGAATATCAGTTAAGTAGCATAGAACAGCCATATAATAAATCCTGTACAATTAATTTAAAAGGAATTATATATCTATCCCTACTATTTCTTAAGAGATTTAGAACTTATATACAATAAATGCACTGGCCTTAAGTGTTCAGGTCGTGAACTTTAGATCAAAATATAGTTACACCAAAGCTGCATCTCAAAACGTCAGAGGACTTGACTAAGTTAGCACCATCGCCCTCTTTGGGAGCGAGGGGGGCATCCCTGAGTTCTCACTTGCAGGCTAACATTCCCCTCACTTTCTTGCTCATTACTCAAACCTTAGGATATGGATTCTCTCTACTTAGCCTCGTCCCACCCAAGTGAAAGCACTGTCACCCTGGAAGTGCCCCAGAGCTTCTTCCTCTGGGTGTGGCACATGGCAAAGGTTCCATGATCCCCGGGAGTCATTCAGGGGCAGCCCTGGGGGTCAGAACATCTGCAGGTTCTCCACAACTAGAACCCTGCACTAGAACCCGTGCACCCATTCGCCATCCGTCCTTGGTGACAGCCAAAGGGGATACCTGCAACCAGCCCCTGAATTTGACCTGAGCTCTGCCAAGCATGAGAAACATCTGGTCACAGGGTTCCTCCTAATGCAAGAGCTCTGACTCACATCCTGTGGCTCCAGGCAAACGCTGGCTAACTGCTGATACCCCAAAACTTGCTAAGCCTCTGCCCCAGCTAATATCCACAGCCTGTGGCAACTGTGAATCTGACTTTCAGTATCATCAAGAGAAGTAACCCATCAGCTGACGCCAAGCGATAAGTGGAGACCTCGAGAGGAAAGGTCATGTGAATGAATGATTGTCAATGGACTTCTTTGAGGGGAGATGATGGTATAAAATTTAATAGCGGTGATTGTTGCACAGCTTTGTGAATATACTAAAAGCCACTGAACTGTATACTTCAAAAGGGTGAACTTTGTGGCATGTGTATTATATCTCAATTTTTTTAAAGAAGAAAGGTCACTAAATAATTAGTAGAAGTAGAATAAATAGAAGCAGGGGTGAAATCAGATTTATTATTCCAGGAGGATTGGTTATTATTAGGCTGACAATTATTTAACCTTTGCATGAATGTTTCCCGCCCCCCCCTACTTTTTAAAAGTAGACTATATCCTTGAGAACTATAGTGATATAGTTATAAAAGGTTTTCCTGGTGTCCAGCTGGTATGGCTCAGTGGTTGAGCATCGACCATGCACCAGAAGGTCACCAGTTCAATTTCCAATTTCCGGTCAGGCAGGGTTGCAGGCTCCATTAATGTATCTCACTCATGTTCCTCTCTCTCTCTCTCTCTCTCTCTCTCTCTCTCTCTCTCTCTCTCTCTCTCTTTCTCTCTCTCTCTCTCTATCTGTCTCTCTCCTCCACTTCCTTCTCCTCCTCTCTCCCTCACCCTTCCTTTCTTTTTCTCTCTAAAATCAATAAAACATATTTTAAAACTTTTTTTTTCCTGGCAAATTCCACAACCTTGAAAACATAATTTCAGATATCATGTCCTCCAGTAAGGTTTCCATTCCCTTTCCCACTTCCCACAGTGCCCCTGTGGATTATGGCTTTCAGTAAGCACCCTTTGCTTACCTATATCATTGATACTTTATCCTGAAATTAGCTGCCTGTATCTCCTCTCACTAGCATAGCCTTAGCACACAGAAGAGCATGAGATATGTGTATCAAATGCACTGAATGCCAGATCTTCATCATCTTGTAAGGTTGTTTTAAATTGGTACTTTATTTTTTTTTAATTGCTGCCTCTTCCTCCTCCCCCTTCCCCCTACTGATTTCAGAGAGAAAGGGAGAGGGAGAGAACGATAAAAACATCAATGATGAGAGAGAACCACTGATCGGCTGCCTTCCACACTGGGGATGGAGCCCACCACCCAGGCATGTGCCCTTCACCAGAATTGAACCCGGGACCTTTCAGTCTGCAGGCCAACGCGCTATCCACTGAGCCAAATCAGCTAAGGTAATTGGTACCTGTTTTTTTAAACCCACCTAGTTTAATCCTGCACAACTGGGCTTCTGCAATCATGTGGCAGGGAATTTGCTACCTAAAACAACAGGATATTATCAGATGCCTTTTCTGAAGGAATGTGCTCATCTGTGACAAGAATGGATCAAATCGACCCTTGGAGGGATCTTCACCTTGGTACAGGTCAAGAGAGAGAATGAATCAGAGCATCAGAACCTGTGGTTCTGGGTGAGTAAGAAGCCATGTTCTCCTCTCCCTTTCTTTTCCCTGGAAACCTTTAAATAATAAAGCTTTTAAGCAGCCATTAGGTCTGTACAAACCCATCTTAGAATCAGCAGTCCCTTCCTGCCTTTTCTCTTCATCACAATTCAAAGATTTTTCTAAGAAAACCAAAGAGCTATACTATCATGGCAGGATATAAGTAGAGGGCAGATAATGCAGGGGCCATTGAAAATTAGGAGGGTTTTGACCCACCCCATTGTATTCAACCAACGTATGCCCAGAAATCTGACCCTCTAAGCTACTGAGGTTCCAAAAGTTACTCCTCACTTACTCCTGTGGGAGGTGCATACACGGTTCTAATAGGAGCAGTGAGTGCTCTGACCTCCCGGGAGCCAGCATCGTGGTGCCCACCCCATGGGACCTTAGGGGACCATGTGCACAAGCTGGTACATACCAGAGTCACCCCAAAAACAAACAGCCCATCTGGGGTTACAGGAACCTGCAGGTGACGCACCATCTCTGAGGGCCCCTCCTTGTTATTTATTATGAAAATGTTCAAACACACAGAACAAGAAAAGGAACATTACTGCCCAGAGGCATGGCTCAGTGATTGAGCATCAACCTATGAACCAAGAAGTCACAGTTTGATTCCCAATCAAGGCACATGCCTGGGTTGCAGTCTTAATCCCCAATGTGGAGTGTGCAGGAGGCAGCTAATCGATGATTCTCTCTCATTATTGATGTTTCTGCCTCTCTCTCCATCTCCCTTCCTCTTTGAAATCAATAAAAATATATATTAAAAAGCAAAAGGAACATTACACTGAACTCCCATAGACCCACACCCCCAAAAAGGAACAATTATTTATATTTAAGGTACCTTATATATCTAATAACACTAGGTACTTTATAACAATACCCCAGATACTTCAGCATGTCTCTCCCCAAATAAGAACATTATCCTAAATGCTACTGTTATCCTACCTAATAAAATTAACATTAATTCTCTAATACTAACTAATACTCAGGCGATGTCCAAATCTCACTCATATGCCCTGGCTGGTATTGCTCAGTGGTCAGCCTGCACATTAAAGGGTCTCAGGTCTGATTCCCAGTCAAGGTCACGTACCCAGGGGTTGCAAGTTCAACCCCTGGCCCCAGTTGGGCCACCTGCAGGAAGCAACCAATCGATGTCTCTCTCTTCCACTCCCTCTAAAAATTAATGAAAAAAAAAATTATATCCTCAGATGAGGATTAACAAAACAAAAACAAATTTTCTTACAGGAAAGTCCCTCCCTTAAATCCTAGCCTTGCCCTCTCCCCCTCCTGAATCCTGGACTCTGTTCTGCCACCACCTAGTTGCCATGGCCACGGCCCCTTCTGAATACCTGCGCAATAGGTGCCGTCATTGGGAATGAATGTCTTGTTGTTGTTTGTGGCTCGATATCCTTCTAGGCAGATGCAATAGAAGCCTCCAAGCGTGTTGTGGCAAGATGTGTGGTTCCCACAGACCACAGTGGCCCCAAACTGGCACTCGTTTTTATCTGTTGATACATTGAGACAACATCCAGGAAAGGCCATCAGTCCATGCCACGTTCAACACCCCACTGTCCTGTGCTGTGAACTCGGGAATCAATATTCTGGGACCTTGGTCGGCAAACTGCGGCTTGCGAGCCACATGAGGCAAAAAATAATCTCAAATGCTTCTAGCTTAAAGGTCTTTACATTCTTCTAAGTAACCCAAGACTACAAAAGGTAATAACCACACACAATACGGAGGATGGATTCTGCTCGACATGAGACTCAAAGCAATAGTATTTCATCAATTAGCCAAAAAGTCTAATAGGCAATTGTGTTTTGTTTTTTTTCTCATGATACTAATAGTAGTTTTATATCAAAACAAATTAAGAAAACTCAATATTGACTTAAGTTACTAAATTAAATTCAAGACCTGAAACACATTTCAAATTTGTAGTGGGCCAGAGAGTTTCCAGAAATTCAAGTTCAATGACCTCTAACATGAGGGACACTTCCTTGGAAACCCTAGGGACAGGATATATCCAAACACTAAAACAAAGAGTTATTATAATTGACAAAACTTCTTGTACTAAAAACAGTGAAAAAAATAACAATGTTTTCTTCCCAAGGACATCAACTCTTTAACACTAAAGAATCTTGTTTCTTCAACTTTTCAACTCAACACAGGATTCAGAACTTACCAATACACTGAGTCCTCCCATTGCCCACAAATCCATATTTGCAAATGCACATCTTCTTCCCTTCTCTTTCCTTGCAAGTGGCATGTTCGTGGCACGTGGCACAGATGTCTAAACCTGAATCACAAATTGTATATTTCAGAAAAATGAAAATTCCATTACCTACTTTCGACGAATTGTATTTTGGGTAGTAAACATTTATGATGGAGAACCATAATTTAAATACCAAAATTGAAAAGGAACTGACCCCTTCCTTAAAAACCTACGTTGACTACGCATTGCCCACAGAGTAAAGTACAAATTCCTCTACCTGGCTATCAAGGCTCTTAATGGCCTGACTGTAAGCTAGCTCCTCCAGCTTCACCCTTCCCAAACCCAGACCATACACAGGATTCTCTGGGGAGAAGATCAACTCTTCTTTCCCATACATGCTATCCACTCATACTTCTATTAGAATGCCTATCCCACCCAGCCGGCTTGGCTCAGTGGTTGGGGCACATGCAGGGTTGCGGGCTCGATCCCCAGTGTGGGGCATGCAAGAGGCAACAGATCAATGATTCTTTCTCATCCCTTTTACACATATATACAAACAAACGAACAAAAAATGCCTATCCCTCCATCTCTGTCCAGCCTAGCACCTATTCCTATTTCAAGACCCAACTTCCACACCATATTCTCCCTGACATCTTCCCCATCCCCTCATTCTTAAAGAAAATTAAATGTATCTTCCTCTGTGTTTCCCTAACACCTGTATATTCTCCCATCAACCACGTTAACTTGTCATGATACTCTGTCCCAGCTCTGTCTTCCCAGCTTGGAATTATGAAAGGACTACGTCATTTGCCCACATGTCTTTATTTATACAGTGTAAGCATTCTATTTGGATTGACCAACCGAAGAGAGGAACCTATAATCCTACTTGCTATACTGCAGAAAGCAAATGGAGGGTAAAAAAAATGTCTCTATTACCCTATCCATTTTCCTTTCAGGGAAAAAGTGAATGTGTTTACAATGCCAGCGAGATAGCGGCGGGTCCCCACGGGAAGACCAGATCCCAGTTATTTAGATAAGCAGCAAAAAGGTTTGGGGCTAAAACTCCTGAAACATCCAAATCTATCAGATGGTGATATATGGCCACGATAAAACAAGAATTTCTACCCGGAGCTGCTGAGCTATCGTGTTGCACAATCAGTGTCTGTAATTTCAGGAGTGGCCCCGTAAGAAGAACCTTTCGCATGGAATTTCATCTCAGTCTTGGCCCCATTACTCCCCTGGTAATAAAGACTTAGCCCTCGGGCCGCTTCAGGCAGGAAATCAACCGAGACAAGGAGATTTCTCAATACTCTTAACCATGCTTGCTTGCTTTTTAAACAAAAGGTAACACGGAAACGAGACAAACCATGACTTATTACTAATACCAAGTTAACCATGGAAGTTTAAAAAAAAAAAAATTTATCAGACCCAGACCATACAGAAAAATACAACAAATTTGTAAAAAGTAGAAGTTGCAGAAGTCCTATTATCTGACTCCCATGTAAGAATGTCATAAAACTACAAAATAAAACTTAAGACTAGTGTTCCCATAAGAAAACATAATCGCAACAACAGAACACTCTTCCCAAATAATTCTTGGAAACACAGAGGATATAAAAATTGAAATGTTTACTACCAGATATAAAAAGTTGTCTACTCTAGAAAATTTGAGTTTTACATGTTTTTATGCTTTAAAAGAGAGAAAGCAAAGCAGACAGCCAGGGAAAACACACACCCAAGAATTTTAATGCAGGAAGCTTAACAAAGATGAAAAAACAAAATAGAGGTTTATGGAAGGAGGGTTAGGATTTAGTGAAAATAAAAAAAATGTTAAAAATTAGAAAATACATTCAAATTCATTAAAAAAAAATCTTTCCCCAAAGTCAGTGCATCATAAAGACCAATAAAGTAGTCAAAACTCAAGTGATTCTGGGGAGAGAGTAAAAAAGAGTGTGCACAAACTTAGGAATCAGAAAGAACTTATAAGAAAAATACATAAACATTTCTTTAACATATGTTTTCATTGATTTCAGAGAAAGGAAGGAGAGGGAGAGAGAAAGAAACATCAGTGATGAGAGAGAATCCTTGATCAGCTGCCTAAGGCATGCCCCCTACGGAGAATCATGTCCACAACCTGAGCACATGCTCCAACTGGGAATAGAACGAAACATGACCTCCTGGTTCAGCTACGGAGCTACACCCGCTGGGCCATAAAACATTTTTTTTTAAATTACAAATGAAAGACTTCCGGTTAAATACCACAGATTTAATACACTCTCAACCCCACCCCCACGAAATGACAACAAGGACTAGGAAGTGTGGACCTTGGGAGGAAAGATGATAGCAGACGAAGGATGTTAACAATATTTCAGAAGATGGAAGAAGTGGACATATGGGAATTGCCTGACAGAGGAAGAACTAAAAACCACTCCCGAAAAACTTAGGAATTAGGGTCACTGAGTACCTCAGAAGGGAGAGCCTGAAAGTTCAAGGAACTTCGTGAAAATATGTCTAAGGAGTAGCTACATACCCAGATTCCTCTCACTAACCCGGGCATCAGATGGAGTTTTAAGACGGGGAGAAAATGGGCCAGAAAAGCTCCTGAAAACAGGGATAACAGACAAAGCCAAAGTGAGAACGAGCCTCCTACCTAAACACACGTCAATATGGGTTAAATATATGTAAACAACGGACATTCTGACACATAATATTTTAAAACAGTTCCATAGGGACGCTGTCAATTCATCATCACATGCAACCAAAATTCTGGAAGTACTTTTAAAATAGTGGATCCTGCCCTGGCTGGTTTGGTTCAGTGGAAGGAGCATTGGCCTGTGGACTAAAAGGTCCCGGGTTCGATTCCGGTCAAGGGCACATGCCCAGGTTGAGGGCTTTTTCTCCATTGGGGGGTATGCAGGAGGCAGCCCATCAATGATTCTCTCTCGTCATTGATGTTTCTCTCTCTCTCTCTCTCTCTCCCTCTTCCTTCCTCTCTGAAATCAATAAAAATATAAGTAAATAAATAAATAAATAAATAGATGCTGGGTCAAGTCCACAGTCCCAGTTGAGATCTACCAAAAAATGACGAACATTCTCCCCAGTGTGTGTGTATACAGTACACTAATAGATATTGTACCATCTAATAAAACCAACCAAAAAAGTGGTAAAATGTTTGATTTTTCTTATATAGTATGCTTGTCATTATAAAGATGGCAGCATTTATATACATCCAGTTCCATTTGTTAATCCTCACATGAGAATATATTTTCCATTGAGTTTTAGAGAATGGGAGAGAGAAACATCAACGTGAGAGACACATTGATTGGTTGCCTCCTACATGCACCCACACCAGAGCAGGGATCGAACCTGCAACCCAGATATGTGTCCTTAACCCGAAATCGAACCCATAACCCTCCATTGTACAGGCTGATGCTGAGTCGTGCCAGCAGGGCCAGAAGCTTTTATCATGTGGAAAACGATTGCTTCGTATAACTGTTGAGTGAACCGAATAAACCCACACAAGAAATTAAGAAACAAGTAAGTATCACCAATTCAGATAAATGAAAGGCAGTCTCATCTGAATTAGTGAAGGACAGAATCTAAAGTATTTTTAAATAAATGTGATTATGTTCAAGTTCATTCAATCGCTAGAACCAGACAAACAAAATATGGCCCTGTAGGAAGGCAGCCAGGTACAGAGGAAAGCGCTGGGTTTGAGTTGGAACTGGATCCTGAGTCCAATTCATGTGTGACCTTTAGCAAATCACTTAATCTCCCCGAGTCTCAGTTTCTTCATCTGAAAAACAAGGGCTTTGGGCTTCTCGGATTTTAAAATGCATTCAAATTACCTGGGGCTCTTGTTAAACCGCAGGCTGATTCAGTTGGTCTGGGTGGGGCCCTATATATTGCATTTCTCCCGAGCTCCCATTTGAACAGTTGGGTTAAAGGGCCCCTGAAGTCCTTTCCCTCTAAAGTTCTGACACTCCATCCTCGGGATGCCTGTTGTAAAGACCCGCTCAGAATAATTTAGAGTAAGTGTAACTCCCAGGACAGTGCCTGGTTTGTTTGGCTCAATAAAAGTTTGTTCCCCATACTGGCAAAAAGGACAAGCTGTATGCTAGGTTACCGGGGACTTTGCAGCCATAATTAGCATAGTCCGCACAGCCTGGTAGGGGAGCCTCTGAGTTCAAGTGCTTGAAGGACCAAGTAGCTTCTTGGGGGGGTGGGGGGAACTTGTCCTAAAGGAAAGGGCAACCCCAGCCATCGTGGCTCAGTGGTTGAGTGTCAACCTATGTATGAATCAGAAGGTCACGGTTCGATTCCTGGTTAGAGCACATGCCTGGACTGTGGGCGTGCAGGAGGCAGCTGATCAATCAATGATTCTCTATCATCATTAATGTCTCTATCTCTTTCTCCCTCTGCACTCCTCTGCCTCTAAATAAAAATCAATAAAAAAAGCCGAAACCAGTTTGGCTCAGTGGATAGAGCGTCAGCCTGTGGACTCAAGGGTCCCAGGTTCGATTTCGGTCAAGGGCATGTACCTTGGTTGCGGGCATATCCCCAGTAGGGGGTGTGCAAGAGGCAGCTGATTGATGTTTCTCTCTCATCGATGTTTCCAACTCTTTATCTCTCTTCCTTCCTCTCTGTAAAAAAAAAAAATCAATAAAATATATATTTTCTAAATCAATAAAAAATACATATATTTTAAAAAGAATTGCCTGGAATTAGGGTGATGAAACTATCATGGTTTTACTAAAAGTCCTGTGTCCTGGGAAACCCCTCAGTTCGGTACAAATCAAGACAGTGGGTCACCCTACCTGGAGAGCTCATTAAAACAGAATCAATCCCCAGAGATTCGGACTCAGTAAGGGTGGGGTGGGGTCTGAAAATGTGCATTTCCGATAAGCTCCCAGGTGCTGCAAGTTTAGCTCAACCTCAGGATAGGGGTGAGAGTCCTGGGGAAGGTAACAGTTATACTGAAGAAGTCTTTCACCAAGTCTCAACTGATGCAAGGCATAGCACAGGGAGCCATGTGACAGAGAGAACCCCAGGAAGAGGAACTCTCCAGGCCAACAGAAAGAGCA